AAATTATTTGGATTTTCATCTGTTTTCTCTCCTGGTCCTGGTGCAATCCATTATCAAGTGCCCTGCTTCACACCCAAGAACTTCTGCAGTGGCTGCATTCTTAGATGTGATAGAGTTTCTTGCTTGTTTGGATGCCACAAGAATGGTTTCATCGATTGTTATGGAGTACTGGGTTGGGTGGAGAAGGACTGGGGGCTTCTCTGGACCTTGGACTGCAAAGAGCTCTCCAAGACATTGGGATGGGATCGCTTGCTGCTCTTAGACACTGTGCAGGGGATGGGCCAGCTATAAAGGCAGTTCTAATGTGTGTGCTGAAATACCTAAAATAAGCCATGCAAACAAATCAGTCGTATGCTATCCAGATGGGACTGTTCAAATCCAATAATAGCAGTAAAGTGCTCCTGAACTCTGCAGAGAGAGAGATTATAGAAAGATCAGGTATAATTATAGTGCCTTATTATTACCATTCTCATCATTCTTTCTAACAAAGATTTTCAATAGGATGAAACAACTTCTTGCAGAAGAACATAATGTGTTTGCTGGCATTTTTTTCATTTTTCCTTCCAAGGCTACACAAGTCAGGCCCTGTAAATGGTATTAATAAATACCATAATGATCTTGGATTGTATCATCTTTCAGACAATGCCCTCTTTAGTATCCCTCTTTGGCCCTGACCACAGCAGACACTTCTCCTGAAATTTCTCTGTTGCTACCACTAACAAAACACCTACAAAAATACTCACCTGCTGCTCTCATCCTTGTTTTGATACATTCACTTTCAAGCAGGATGGAGAAGCATCTTTAAAATATTAGTGGTTGCTACTGGTTTGTCTGTCTGTATACTGCTCTGTAGCTGAAGTAATGTAGGTGGAATCACTTAGAAGATATTTTTTACTTCAGACAAGGTTACAGAGCTGCAGGTGCGTATCTATGAGCAGCTGGGACCACAGAGAGAAGGAAGATGGCCTCTAGCATTTTGTCAGCAGTATCTCCTCCCTGAGTGCTGCAGGATCCTGAAAGCTTTACCCTCAGCTAGTGGCTGATGGTGTGGTGTAGCAATGCTCTGTAACTGAGTGCGGACTTCCCGGGGAGGGGATTTCTCACAGGAGGGAAGTCCCAGACCCACTCCACCTCTGCGGCTTCCCACTGCGCCACTGAGTGTATGGATGGTAAAACTTCTGGTGATACATCACACTTAACCTGCAGCACTCCCTGCCCTGCCAACCTCATCCCACCCCTGGATTGATGAACACCATCCATGCACCGAGCTCAGCTTGGACAGATGGTGGTGCACCACAGCCCCCTGCTCAGCCACCATCTCCCTGGGCAGCTTTGCTCTTTCTGCTGCCTGGAGGTCCCAGGGCAGCCAGGAGGAGCGGGCAGGGTGGTTTGAACAGATGCAGCAGGTTTTTTGGCGGGGAAACTTGTTTCAGGAAGGAGGGAGGGAAGGGGCGGTTTGCTGAGGTGGATCTTTCTCTTTTCTCCACCTCTCCCCAAGCACCTCAGCAGAGCCTTGCTCTTAGCTCAATGAAAGTAGGGCAGAGCCTAACCACATTTCAAGCTGTCTGCGTTTTTGGATTCTGGGTAATTGTGATCTCTTATCTGTTCCTAGAAAAGATTTAAACAACTTATAAACCACAGCTGGGCAGAGATAATAAAGGAAACAGTGGCAGGGTGGGGAAGTCTCTCCCCAGCAGAAGCAGAGTGGGGAGGGGGCAGTGGGAGAAGTCATGGGCCCAGCCACAGTGCAGAGGCTCCCACATGACTGCTGGGGCCATGGGGGGCCGAGGGGACTGGCTCAGGCAAACCAAAGCCACAGGTGCTAGTACTGGGCTTTACAGAAAATGTGTGTGTGTGTGAACATATCTGCAAATACATACGTAAAGAGCAAATGGAAATATATTTAGCCATAGAAGGAGTCTGAGCCCTGCTACGGTATCCATGTACATAGATAGCTCCATGCACATGTTCGCGTTGATAGCATTTCTCCACACAGACAGGACTTTCACATTTATTCAGATTTATTTATTATCCTATGCAGCCGCACTCCTTCCACTAGAGGGGCTGAGGTGGGCTCAGAGCCAGCCTCCAACCTCCAAGTACACAGAGAGGTTCATAACTTCCTTTTCAGACTTCCCCTGCCACATGCTTGATGCTTCACCTGGCCATGAGGTTGTTCTCTGCTCTGCCTTTTTCTCCTCAGACAGACAGCTTGCTGTGCCTGCTGGGGAAAAGCTCTGTCAGCAATTACGCTTTTATGCTTTTAAGCTGTATTCTCATCACCTGTCTCCAACTGAATGCAGAAATTTTGAGAAGGGTTTAAAAAAACCTTGATGATGATCCTCTTGCATTAGGCCAAATCTGTGTCCTGTAGTCCTGTCAGCTCAGGATGTTGATGGTGGATGGGAATCTGGATTGGGGTGTGGGGAAAAATTGAGAATGAAAAACAATTCTATGTTGGCAAAAGTCCTAGCAAAGAGATGGTCCTTCCAACAAATGCTCTTGCCAGAATGGTTTATTTAGTTTGGATAGCCAGACTAGGGTCTGGTGGCTTAAAGATGTTTTTCTACCCTAGCAGAGTTTGCTAGAACAGCTGCATTAGCCTGTGTATTCTACACAGTTCACAATAAAAGCAAAGCTGAGGAATTAACAGAAAAGAAAGCCATCTTCATTTGCCAGTGAGATACTTAGCTACTTAATCCTTCCCCAGCCATCCTCCCAGCAGCTGGTGGAGGCCAATGCAAATGCCAAGCCAATGCAGAGTGTGACTGCATGCACGTTTGCTACTGGGTGGCTGCTGGCTCAGAGGTGGTGTTGAATGCTGCAGGTCCCTTGGTTGGAAAGCTGCCAGATGCTGAGCAGCAAGAATGGGGCCCTAGCTAAGCAAAAAAAAGAAAAAGAAAAAGAAAAAAAAAGGAGAGAGAAAGAAAGACATTAAAAGACATTGGAACTAGATGATCTTTGAGATCCCTTCCAACCCAAGCCATTCTATGATTCTCTGATTCTCAAAGGAAGGGAAGAAAAGAAAAATGAAGGAGCTGGGGGGAATGATGTTGGCTAGGCACAGGGGAGCACAGAGACTTCATGGAAGAGAATAAGCTTGGAGTGTGGTGCAGCTGCAGGCACACCACGGGGCATGGCAAGGTACCTGACAGCAAGCAGAAGCTGCAGCTTGCCAAGGCCTGGGGAGCCGGGCCTGGCACAGCCAACTGGCTCAGCCATAAGGGCCACCTGGTGAGGTGGTGGTTGGCAGGGACAAGTCTTGTGGCCATTGGCTGCTCCATCACCTTGCTCTACATGACCCACCCTGTGCCTGCCCCATGGCATCACCGATAGCGCTTGGTAGCGTTTTGATTCAGGTGGAAAGTATGTAAGAAGCTTTCCCAGGAAAAATCAGAGTACAGATCATCTCTGTTTTCTCACCTAGCGCCCAGCTGGGGGCCCAACTTGCTGTCAGAAGGCCTCTGGAGGTTGAGAAATCTCATTCATAATAAAACTTCTCCCCCACCAGTGCTGGCAAGAGTTTCCAACGTGCCCACAGCGTAGGAGGGACGGCTTCTGAGTGCGACTGACAAACCGTGCCAGGGCGAAATGAGTTTTGGCTCCCACACCTCACCCCGTGTGCCATGGGGCTGCCACCCCCAGGGCCACTCCGGTCACACGGGCTGGGACAGCAGCAAGAGCCACGTGTGGGGAATTGAGGGCTCCCAAGGCTGCTGTGATGAGGGAGGGAGGTGAGAAGAGAAGGCGGCGGGACGGGGTTGGCTTCATAGCGCTGCAGCTGTGCCGGAGCCCCGGGTAAAATGTTTTCCTTTCCTGCATCCCGCCGTCTGCTCACCTTCGCCTCACGGGCGAACCGCTACGGTGATAACTGCAGCGTGCCGAATAAACGTTGCACTGCGAGTTGCTGGTTACAGTTAATTAGCATTAATTTCGCCTTAAATGAATCCTAGTTGTGCTCGTTTTCTCTGGTGCTGTGGCTGGGAAGCCGCTGAGCAGAGAGCTCGAGATGGGGAGCACCCAGGGCACTGCCGGCACCTCTGTGTGTGGAAGGGACGGGGCAGGACGAGGTGAAACCAGCAGGATATTTGCTTTTTGCACACACTGCCTTTTCAGCGACCTGCGTGAGGCCGCCGCGGCACCTGCATCCGCGATACCACAGGGCAGGGCGCGGGGCTGAGGGCGGCGCGAGCCGGGGCGACGGCGCCATCTTGTGGGTGAGGGCGCGGGCAGCGGGCAACGGGCAACGGCGCCGCCCTCCAGGGCTTTCCTGCGTGTCTGTGGGCGTGCAGGGAGCTGTGCTGCGTTCGGAGAGGCAGCAGCTGGCCCCGCTGCTCCAATGCAGAGCATTCATCTGCCTCAGAGCGGGTGCGAGCCTGCGAGCAGCGCTTGTGGTCACTCTGATTGTTGTCTCCCGCCCGGGGCGAGGGTTGTGGCATCCAGGCATTCTCTTGCTCACCCGTGTTTCCCACAGCCCGGAGGGCTCTGGGGCTGAGCCAGGTGGAATTTATTTATTTTTTTCCTGGAAGATGTCAAAGGGCTCCTTGGAGGTGAAATCCCGCTCGCCCCCCGGCTTGTCACGCAGGCTACAAAAGGAGGGTTGCGGAGGGGAGCTGTGGGGGAGCGCCGCCAGGTTGAAGCGAGAGCCCCTGCGAGCGCATCAGGCGCCTGGCGATAATTCAGTCCCCAGGAATCTTTCCAGTAAAGCAACAGAAAAAGAGCAGAAGCAGGATGATTTGCGAGGCAGACTCATTTTGTTGGTGAAAGGGAATCATAAAAGCACCCCCTCCTTTCCCTACGGTGGTGTCAACACCTTTCTTTTTCTGGTTTCCCTTCTAGTTGCTGATTGTTCTCTTCCCTGGAGCAGTTCAACTGGTAGAATCTAGTGAGGGCATTGGCAGCTTTTACTTCAGCATCATCCAGCCCTGCTGAGAGGCACTCGACACAGAGCGATGGTAAAATGCTGGCAGAGGTACGGCCCTGCTTGTTCTAGCTCTCCTATCGCTCTTACCACCAGCCAGAGGGAAACTGTAAGCCACAGAGGCCGGGGTTAGAGGAGTCAAAGAGATTGCGAATCCTCGGAGGTGTGTGTCTGCATTGCCGCTGGCTGGGTTTGCGGCGGTGGGGGATTGAGCCAGTCTCTGACAAGGCAGCGAATCCAGAGCTGCCGTGCTGGGGAATGCTCTGAAAAGCTCTCAGGCAGGCGCTGCAGTCAGGCTTGTTGAATTGCTGCAGCTCATCTCTGCGCCAGGCGGTGTTTCTCCTACGGCTGGTTGTGGTGTTAAACACTACGGCAATAAAGAGGCTTTGTTGTGGTCTCTGCAACGTTGCTTTTGCCTTGGCTAGCAGTAGTCTTTTTGTTGGAATAAATACTTTCTCTGAAATAGGCTATGGGGGCATGTGTGGGCACATGTGTGTGCTGCTGCTTGTGGGTATACATTGGACACAGCTGTGAACAGGCAATTCTGGTAGGTTCAGCGCTTGCCCAAACTTGTTGCTCATGAGAGCCAGAATGATGTGTTCTTCCTCACTGTTGGGAATGCTGGCCGCTGTCATGAGCTTTTGAAAGTGCTTGGGTGAATTAATAGATGCTTTTCAGCCACATGCAGAAATTGTTGCTTGCATCTGGCCCAATGCTGTACTTAGTCTCGGGAAATGGTGAACTTTTGGTGCATTAAAGGAGGGACCAAACTTACAGATCCTGACCAATCTGGATTGGGACAAACAGTTCCCTTCTCATGCAGTAGGGACCAGCTCACATGCAGCAGTGTACTGTGTAATGTATGGGTGCAAATCCTACAATGACCCATTCCTTAGAAGCTTTATAATTTTTTTCCTTTGGTACAGTTATCCTGGCTTGTTCCATCTAAGTTTCAGGAGCATCAGTCCTGCTCCAGGTTGGTTACAGAAACACACAATACCCCCACTTTCCCTCATCTTCCTCCCATTTATGTCTCCAGTCCAGAATCCCCAAAACCAATGGAATTGTAATTTAATATTCAAAGATTCAGGCTCCCTTTAGGCTCTTGGGAACAGAATGCTACCCTGTTAGTAGTTGCTGAGTAGTAATTTCAAAGCCATTTCTTTTCAGCAGGCACTACCATAGCAAATTCCAGCAGAGAATGTGTTTCTTGCCTGCCATGCCAGTAATCCTAGAGCGAAGTCTTACATGTGACCTCTTCTGAAATGCCAAAACTATATATTTCTTAAAATTCCAGACAGCAGTATTTCTAGGACTTGGCATTTAGAGTGGTAACAGGGTTGTTTATAGGAAGAGAAGGGAAAGGACAGAAGGAGGATGTTGACCTAGCAGCCCTACAAACCTACCGCACTTAATCCACTTATCACTCTGAATTCCTGAAGCAGATAAATGCTGATAACAGTTAAAACACATCACTGACAGGAGCAGCACGTTCTGTCCTCTAGAAATACATCATTGCTGGAAATTGCAAAGCTGTGCTACCATGGGGATGAGTGTGATATAAGAGCTCAGGAGGCCCTCACTGTTCAGCAGAATTCTTCCTTAGGAAGGTAGCTATTCCCTCCCTCCCCCAGATATCTTGAAGATGCAGTTCAGGCCTGAGAAGTGCTGCTGAGCATGGTTGTGACCCCACATCCCCCCAGAGCCACAGCTGCCTGATCTGTGCCTACATATCTGAAATACCAAGTAGGCCCCCAGTGTCTTGTTACCGCTCTTGATTGTCCTTGCTGCTCAGCGTTAAGACCTGTGAGGAGCAATTTGCAGCTGAGACCAGCCCTGTGCAGCTCATATCAGTGTGTCTTGGGGAGAGGAGTTCCTTTTGGCTAATCTGAGCTAAACCTTCCCTGGAGGAGTGCAGCTGCTGCACCAGCCTTGCAAAGCCACACAGAGCCACTTGCTCCTCTCCCCATCTGTCAGGGCTCTCCTCGAGGTACTGGAGCTGTCCCTGGGCTCAGGGGAATAGAGCAGTCACAGCTGTGCACAGCCCCCCTGTGTCAAGACCCCTTCCTCCTAAGAACCTGTCCCAGGTTGAACAAGGGGAAAAATGCTATGAACTGAAGGTTGTTTTGGAGCAAGTCTTGCTCATACAAACTCAACAGACAGGGTGATTTTGAATGTGCACAATCTACAGGCTTATCCAGATCTTAGAAGAGACAGCACAGCCATCCCTCACCCTCACCAGTTTCCACAGTGCAGCACCCAGTGTGAGTGGGAACCCTTGAAGTTACAGCAAAGTGGTTTCTTGTGGTCAGTGCAAATGTCTCTCAAGTCTAAAAGTACTTCTCTAGAGAAAAGCAAAGACCTCTCAGACATCAGGGTTTTTTGAGTCAGACACTGCTCAGCTGTTGCATTGCAGATGTCTTAGCTAAAAACAAGCTTTCATTGAAATCAAAGACTCTTCATGAGTGTAGGCGGCAGGATCCTCCCACAAAGAGAGGGTTTTCTTCTTCAAAGGGCTCTCCTTACATTTCCCTACAATAGATTTTTTTTAAGGTTCGCCTGCAGTGCGAAGCCGATTCAGGGCCAGCATCGTGTGAATCTGAAACATCACAGCTGTTACAGATGAATGCACTGTCTGGTTCTCGCTTCTGCAATACAAGCGCCTTTCTCTGAAGTAACCTAACCTCTGGAGGGAAGTGTTGGGCAGCAGGGAGGACAGCAGGGCTGTTTCTCTGTGCTGACTGCTTGTGCAGGTATTTGTTTTCCATTTCGAAGGCTAAACAGGTGATCTCATGCTGAAGTGGTCGTGTAAAGAATTAGTTTGATAGTGCTCCTCTGCTGTGAACCCACGCACTGTTGGCACTGCACGATAGCCACTTGAGTAAGAGAATTTGAAGTGCCCTTATTCCAAAATCTGGATAGTCAATGGAGTGAGGTAGTCAGGGATAGCTGTTCCAAAACAACTGTATAAACAAATTCCTACAAAATTATTGTAAAAACCCTGATGTGCCACTTTTAAGCTTGTCCATTGCTCTAGAATCAGTTGACTTGTTCAATGAATCTGACTACATTTACCTCAGATGACCTCAAGCTGCATCAATCAAAGCACGTTTTTCTCTGTATTCCAACCTGGGGCTTTGGTCACTACAGAAGGTGACAAAGTTTACTTTAAATGTGTGTGATGTTTTATGGTCATTGGAAGACAAAGCTCTGTGCGTTAAAGAGCTTACAGTCTAATCTTTTGACACCTGCTGATAGATATAACACCGTGACAATAGTACAGAGAAATGAACCACAGTGCAGGGAGGAGTCTGACAGAAAAGCAGAAGAGGTTGCATCTGCCAGGAACAGCTTGCCAAAGGCAGTGTGTGTCTGTCCCGCGTGTCCCTGCACAAACGGGAGGGGATCAAACGCCCTTTCAGATGCAGGAAGACCTCATGAAATACAATTTCTTTTTGCCTTCTGGATCTTCATATCTGGTTGCTTTCTTACAGCCTTTTGACCTTACCATGGGCTCTAATCTAAAAGTCATCTTCCTGTTTCTTCGGTTGCTTCACTATGGAGGTAAAAAAAAAGGTTTTTTTTTTCCCTTCTGTTTACTCTCACGTTTGTTCATATTAGAGCATTTCCAGCTGCTATCTTCTGCTAATTTCCAGAGCTCCCCTCTAGGAATTTGCACACTGCTGCTATTTCTGTCTTTTAAGCATTTCAAAGCTCGGAGAGAGAATCCTTAAGAAAGGGGGAACATGGGAGAAGGGTTATATAACCCAAATAAAATGGTTTGGCTTTTTCCCTGGCATGTTCTTCTCAAACTAATGGCTCCTGGGATACTGTAAGAAGATGGATCTCTCCTCTGCTTTTTTACAGCGATACTTTACAATGCCTTGTATAAAAACTGCATTCATGTGTGTTCTGCTGGTAGAGATGACGAGAAGGATGGTGATTTATTTTAGAAAATAAGGCCCAGAAGAGACTACTCAGGTTATCACTCCCACTGTGGCTGCAGGATTTTCTGTTGCCTTCTTTCCATAACATTATATCTAGTGCACACAGGACTGTGCGCTCAAAAAGACCGTGTCCCTTAGGATTTCATTGTATCCTAGTTGCTTTTACAGCCAAGAACCCTTTTCTAATGATGTAACCTAAGCTCTTCCTTACTCTTGGGCTATTGTACTTGGCTATGTCATCTGTAGAGGATTTTCCTTAACTGATATTACTTCCCTGAAGTCTTTACTGGACAGTGGCTGTGCCCTCCTTCTGTCATTCCACCCCTCAATTCTCCTTAGTGGTCTGCATTCAGTAGCATTGTCAGGGATGCCTCTTCCAATGTTGGGCCCCTTCACACAGAGATGGATGCTGCTGTTCTGATGCAGCATTACTGCATGATGACAGGAAAGCAAGTCTGGCTGTGTTCTGGGACCACTTTATTAATGCCTTGTTATGATCCTATTCATAGATGCTGAACCCCAGAGAGTGCCATCAAAATCACGAATGGAAAAGCTCTACTTTACCTCTCTATATTTTTCTCCTTTTATTTTCACGTCTGTGAAAGAATCCTGACTCCATCATTTTGTGACAAAACTTGAATGCAAGTTTCCAGTTCCCTTCCCTTTTTTAACTACAGCAGTACATTGCACAGGCCTCCTCTTAAAGGGCTTATTTGTGGTATTCTATCAGCTACCAAGTAAATGGATCCAGAGTCTGATGTTAAACCCAGATTTGACTGGGATGCCAAGTGATCCTGTATCCCAGGCTCCTTACTAGACTCACTCTTAGCTTTTTTTTTTCTTTTATTTTACGAAATAGAGAGCAAACTTGGTGTGGTTCCCCATCTGTGCTTATTCATCCTCTCTTGTAACTCCCTACACCATTGCCTACTGAGTTGCAGTGACAGATTGCTTTCAGCAGACCTAAGGAGGAAGCACATGAAGGGCATGATCTCCTGTCTCTGCATGAGATACTGTCACATGTAGATATTTAAGATCTGCAGTCTTCCGCAAATAGTTCCCTGCATCTAGCAACCACTCTTGTGCTTTGCTACCCATTTCCAGCAGCAAAAGTTGGGAGTGATGAAGCTGTGTCTTATTTCTCATGGCCCCAGTGCAGGGCCCCATGCACAATATGCAATTTCCTTCCTCACTCATGTTTCAGAGACGTACTGATCCACAGATGCACCTGCTTGCACACGGCACCTTCTTGCTGGTGTAGAGTGGTCACGTGCAGGTGTACACACCTGAGCAGAGGATTGTAACTCAGGAGTTACAGAAAACATCCAGCTAGTGTTTGTCATGGAAAATTGCTTTCCTTTTTCATAATTTATAAGTAGTCTCACACCAGGGCAAAATCAGTTCACTTCCTGCTTCATTTCCTGTCTTTCTGTACGCTGGTGTTGTGCAGAGGAGCTCACAAGGGAAAAGGGGAAGCCTGTGATTGCAACAGGCTATCTCAAATCACACAGCAATTACCTAAGAGATGTGGCAGATCACAGGGGGCACGTGCTCTGCATCACTCAGTTTCTGACAAGGGCCAACACTGCTTGCTCTAGACATGCTTCTCGGCGTACATTTATTTTCACCATGTGATTGTGTCTTTGGGGCAGCAATTTTCTCCTGACTTATAGATGACTGCTAACAATTATCACCCTTACAGGAGGAGATGTCAGTGTACAGCAGAAACCTCTAATCCAGGTTGCACTGCTTAAGGAAAAAGTATCCATCCCCTGTGAAGTCATCTTCCCGTACAATCTGAAATACACCACATTTACAATCTTCTATTACTGGATTAATGCATGGGACCAGGAAGTATCCATCTATAATAAGAAAGAACAAGTAGATATCCCTCCTGGAAAAGAAAATAAGACTGCCATCAAATCTTACAATTACAAAACAATGCCGCTTGAAAGCACCTCTTCTACTGGCACATACTACTGCAAAGTTCAATGGAATGACATCCAGATAAAGGGAAAGGGAGTGTTTGTCCTTGTTAGAGGTAAGTGAACAACCAGAAAGGAAGGGTGTACAGTTAAAAATCAGCTGGATTTTTCTATGAAAATATGATCTTTATTCTTTTCTTCCTCTATCCAAGCAAGCTATAAAGTCAGATAGGAGTAATGCTTAATACCCAATATTTAATGCCATCACAGTTGAATGTGTTTTATATAGGTTACCTGTGCCATTGTTCCCAGTTCATAGGTGGTAACATAAATATGCAGTAATTTTTACCTACCCTCCACAGGCACTTGGGAGCACCAGCCTTAAAATCAAGCTCTAAACAGGGACCGGGTAGGGTGTTTTTAGTGTCAGTGTCCAGGACACAGCATGGTTTGGCCTTTATCAGTGTGACAGAGATGGATGAAAATGAGGTCGGGGGTTACGGTGCTCACTGTAATCAGATGTACAGATTAGGTGCTGACTGTTGGGGGCTCACAGTCAGTCTAGGGGCTCAGCCTAATCCCTCCCCTTTTTCCATGTGGTTACAAAGTTTCAGCTGTTCCACTGATGCACAGACTGGAAAACAAGGGAGACCTTCAGAGAAAGATAAGAGCAAATGCTTTAGAAATGTGGTAAGAAAGTGCATGCTGCTGATTGGCTGGATTTGCATTACTGAATGCTGGATATGAAGAATTACTTAGGGTAAATGTGAAGAGCCACGATGAAAAGGCTTTGCTACACTGGTCAAGGGATGTTTGCAGTACCCACTCCGCTCTTTCACATAGCCTGTGTGCTTTCCACCATCTGCCTTTCTCCCCCATCACTCAAGACCTTTCCCAGCCTCTAGCTACCTACCAGCCTTTTTGGCTGCCATTATATATGTCACCTCCCTCTAATCTGTTAAAAACACAAGAAACATAATTTCTGCTCACAGGATGAATCTTTTGCCTTCTTTCTCACAGGTACAGGGTATGCACAGACCTCTTATGGGCGAGAAATCCTCATTACCTTTACCACTCTTCTGGCTGCACTGAGCATCACCGCAACAGCTCTGCTAGTGTGGAAAAGAAAGGCAAGTTATTACCAAATAAAAACCAATACCTGACACGACCCATTCTAGGAATTTATTTCACTTGCTTCTAACTTGGCTGGATTGGAACTCCCCGTGCTGAAATTTTCCGTGCTGAGTGTCTGCCTCAGGTTTATTTTCTTTTTCTAAGTTCAGTCATTCTGAGAAAAAAGATTATAGAAAAGATAAAGCAAGTCATTGATTTGTCCATTAAATAAATTCTAATAACCATTTTGACTTTGGCATGCTCTGCTTTAGAGCAAGGATCTGACATAGGGTGAGAAGTCACACCAGCAGTATGCTGGCCCTGAGAATATTCAAGCAGTGTAGCCTTGTGATGGGTCCTTGGAAAATTGCAGTTTGTGCGTGCTTAGTTTGTGTCTCTTGTCAATTTAGCAGCTCAGTTGTCTAAGGGATCCTGTGCAATGCTGTCTTTCCACACAGAATGTCCTGTGCATCTGTTGTGCAGTCCTAATGGTGGAAGGAGAGCAGGGCTTTCCTTGTTTCTAATCCTTCTTCAAGATGGGGGCTACTCTGGTGTGAAGGCACGACCTGATGAAAGGAAACTGCATTCCTGAGCTATAGGTTGGATACTGTAGAAAACAACAATCTGCAGCGTGGAGGGGATGGGGACCAGAGTATCGAGCATATGCTTGGCAGAGCAAACATTAAGAGACAGTGTTAAAGGGGAAGGTCAGGGCAAGTATCCCAAGGAAGCCTGTGTAGAGGTCACAGCTGACTCAGAAAAAAGAGTGAGACAAAATTCTGAGCAGCCTGCCTAAGTTGACCCTGAGCAGGCTGCAGATTAAACTAGACAAACTCCAGAGGCATCTTCCAATGTCAGCAGTTCTGTGAGGCTGAAATGAGGAGTCTTGGGAGGGAAATTGGGACTGGGAGCAGGAGTGAGAAAGCACTAGAGCCTGGAGGAGGGTATTAAGACTGGGATCACAGGGACCTTAGGTTGAGAAGGCCAGTAGCACAGACTGGAACCATCTGGGTGAGAAAGAACAGAGGGTAAAGGGGAAAACCCAAGTGGGGAATAAGAGGTGCAGAGCAGGAGAAGAGCTGAAAGTAGGACTGAAAGGTCTAAATGAGTCAGGAGCCCTTGGAATAAACTTTGAAGTTTTAATAATGGAATCTCTGTTGGCCAGGCAAAATCTACTGTTCCTATTGCTGCTACCCTCAGATGTTCCTTTGCAATCTTTTGGATATCTTAAGGCTGGCTTGAATAGACTTGATGTATTTTAGAATTGAATTTGGGGAATTATGATTTTTAGGTATTGTATCCACCCATATTTACTCTGTCAAGCTGCCCTCTGCCATTACAGCAGCAGAGTCTGTGCACATTTTTATGTGAAAGCTACATTGCTGATGCAGACCTTTGGCTCCAAGGAGCATCAGGCTTCAGCATGCACATTCAGAGATAGTGCGATTGAACACAGAGTGGCAGCAGTTGGCAGACCTGCAAATCTCGTGAGATTTACCTTGCAGGCAGGCAGATGGAGGGGGAAGGAGTTAGAGGCAGAGTGCCTAGGCTGGAGATGAACCCCTACCTCTGCCTGCCTAGACAGCATATCCATGGGGATAGGAGGGAGGCACTCTCACAGCTTGCCAGTTGGCATCTCTAGACTTTGAGCCAGGCCAGCAAGTCTCAGACCTACAGGCTCTCCTTGGGGCCTGAAGAGATCATGCAGTCATTACATTTGCCCTCCTGCTGAACACAGACCATATTTCTCACCACAGCTTGCTCAGACCTGCTGGTTTAAAAATGTTTATCTTTAAGAGAAGCTATTTAGCATCCTCCTTAGTTACTAATGGACTGGAAAGCAGTTCATCGTTTTCATGTGATGTGAATATAATCATCCCACTTCTTTCTGAATTAAAACAGAGATAGTTAGCAAAGCTTTCTGCCTTCTCTGCCTCTTTCTTTTGCTTGCTGAGCAGTGCTAACCTTTACCTGTGCATGAATGAAGCATATTCAAGGAGAAGCCATCCGATGCGAGAAACAATTCAGAGGAAAAGACTTTCTTCCTTCAACTCCATAACTCCGTGCTGGACCTGCCTGTTAGTGTATCAATGACTATATGTCATCATTAATGCCTGCCTGGTGCTTTTCTCTAGACTGTGTATTAGCTACATATTCCCAGCCAAATCCTCACAAAAATCACTGCATTCTGCCTTTCTGAAATTCCTCTTGCACTTTGAACAGGGATCTGCTTTATTCTCCATCCTTCAGCATTGTCATGTGCTGTTAAATACCTATTTCCTCCATCCTGCTGTCAGCGGTAGAGCTGATTTCTATATACAGACAGAGCCCAGTTTTGCTTTCCAGTGCTTCAATGTCAGTTGTCAGACTCCTTCCTTTCACTCAATGGTGAGAAAAGTGACTGGCCTGTGTTGTGCAAAATGCCATCATTCCATACTGTGCAAGTTCTCAGGGGGTGTGTAGGCAGCTGGCTTTGATGTGACACTGGCATTCATTTAATCCTTGGGGAAATGATGTTTTTTCCAAATGTGTAATTCTGTGTCTTGTCCTGAGCAGATATTGTGTCCTAAAAAGAACCAGCTAAATATCAGGAGACAGAAGACAGAAACTCAGCCTCCTTCAGCAAGCCCACCAACACCTTCTCCTGTTTATGACGTGAGTATCAGAATCACCCTCCATCTCAACAGAAGTGATACCTGGCAGCCCCATTTCTGTGCTCTGCCCTGTTCAGCTCCTCTCAGGACTCTGCACGTCTCCATCCTGTTTCCAGTGCCAAATTCTTGTGCCATGCCCTGTGCTGGGGGGCAGCACCCTTCCCTCCGCCAGCAGCATATAACTGAGCAGCAAGCATGGGGCTATGGAGAGCTCCTGGCACTGGAGGTGGAAGGGCTTCCAGAAGTCATAAGGGAAGACTGGACCTCAGCCTCACTTGTACTGCAGAGTGTCTCAATGACATGCTTTTCTCAGATGGAGATTGATGACTCAGGGAAGTGACACAGAGAGAAACACTCCCACCAACAACTGCAGTCCTGAACTGGCTGACTAGCACTCTGGGGAAGAGGGCAGGAAGAAAGTGAAAGGAGACTTTTTTGGAGCATTTCCCCTTTTCAACTGCATAAAATGCAGCCAATCTCCTTTCTACATTCCCCAGAATAGAGAACACTGACTGCTGCCACTCTTTGAGCCCAGTAGTGGCAGTGTCATAGGTAATAGGATTGGAGTGGCTCTCCTGAAACGTCAAGTCCAGACCTTGACTGCCTCAAGAAACCATGACTCCTAATCACATTTGCAGCCCATCCAGTTTCATTTAAAATGTATTCCTTTTTTTTTTTTTTTTTCCTTTAACTCCCATGGGAGGGCTGCTTTGCTAAGAAGGGAATGATTTATTTCATTTATTTTTTTTCCACATGGTCTGTGGGACAAATGAGGAGGAATGAAATGAAAGTGAGTAGAGAAGGATGTTGCCTGAATATTAGGAAACCTTTCTGACTGTGAGGTCTGTAAGGGCTGGAAAAGTCTCTCCAAGGAAAACCTGTAAGCTCAGCTGCATGAATCATTTAAACTAAACAAAGCAGAGCTCTGGAGAATGTACTGTGGAGAAGAGCAAAGCCCTGCCAAAGAGGCATGGAAATCTGATAGGGGGCAGATGTGAAAGCAAGGGCAGGCCTGCCCCCTTCTTGTTCACACTTCACTGAGTGGGGGGCACTGCTTTGTGGCCCTTCAGTTTCTCAAATGGAGGTTTAAAAGAAAGCACTGTATATTGTATGTGATATGTTTATTCTGGGTAAAAAGAAATGCTTTGGGCAAAGGATGTTGTAGGTTATAAACCTTTTCATTTGTATCAAGTAATTTCTTTTTAATTCTGTCTTTTAAAAATCCAAACGGGTAGTTTCCTGCTGAAGTGGATGATTTCTGCAAGGAGACAAAAAAAAATTCAAATCCATTTCTCGCTCAGTCGGCCTCGTCATGCATCCTTAGCTCCATCTTAATTACATGTTTCATCATGTTGTTCTGTTCAGGAGGCCCCACTAAGTCTAATGCAGCAAGCCAGCAGAGCCAGCCTTAGGCACAGGCAGTCCCGGTAGCTGGCTGGGCTCCTGTGCTTCCAGGAGCCCTATGGACCTGGCCCATCCAGCCTTCCCCCATAGCCCATTAGCCACACGCCAGCTGTGCAGGGCTTGCAGCCAGCCCAGTGTGCAGAGCAGGCAGCTCAGCCCTCTTTGGCAGAGCTGCAGGCAGCCTCAAATCATGTCATGTATGCCATGGGGTGTGAGCCTGCCCCACAGAGCAGATGCTGTGACTCGTTCAGGCATGAGGCAGCAACTCCTGCAGCAGACACAGCGCACGGTGAGAGCAGGGCTCTGAGATGTTATGGAAAAGATAATTGGGAGGAGATGGTGAGCTCTGGGATGGAGAGCATGCTCTGTGAAATCCTGTTGGTGCTTAACCCGGTTGCTGAACGCACAGCGCTTAATTCCTTGGGAAGGGAGGGACAGATTTCTATCTGTGGTCAACTATGGGGGAAGCTAAGGCAAGGAAATTGTATGGTTGACTGGAAGGTCACTTCTACTGATGAGATAAAGAGGGAGATCAGAGATTAGGTGAAGGGACAGGAGGCCAGCATGTGCCAGATGTGATGTCTGTGAGGGAAAGCAGAAGGTTTAAGTCTGGAAAAAAGTCAGGGAGCCACAGTGTTCTAGCGGGCCTGGAGCTTGGAGCAGACACAACAGACAGCAGGACTGGACATACAGGCAAGGACTTGGAACTGGCTGGTGCAGCTTGTTAAATGGTCTGTGCTATCTTCCCTGGCAGCAAGGCTTGTCCCTGGCACAGAAAGGCTCCCAGCATACCTTCTGCAAAGCCATTCTGCTGCACGTCGCTAGGAGCAAATGCTCTCCCCACCATCTATTCCAGGTGACACCTTATGGTCCCTAAGGGAGAATGTATGCAGTGAAAAGCAGCTTGAGATTGTACAAAGTCCCTGTAGTGGGGGCAGCTGGACACCTGCTTTGTTCCACTACACTGCCAAGCACTGCAAGGCCTCTTCACCTTCCTGTGGCCCCAGAGGAGTTCATCGCACCACCCAGACCAAAACCTGTATTTCCCTCCATCTTCCAGCTTAGCCACCTAGTTAATGAGCAGCTTGGAAATAACAATCCAAGGGCCTTGCTTTGCCTGCTTTACACTTCAAACAAGCTTTTTTTTTCAGCAGCAAACAGAGCTCCTGCAGCGCAGGCGAGTTCCAGAGCACAGGAGCTTTTTGAGAAGGCATCTGCCAGCAGGGAGGAGAGGCCTGCGTGCTACCATTGCGACTGTAGCAGGTGCTCAGTGACTGTGTACAAGTAATTGATTTGCAAATGGCAGTTGGAGACACTAGCCTTCCAACTGGTCAGCAAAGCACTGTCAGGAGCCTTCATGGAAAGGAGGGCTTGCAAAAAGAGGGAATCTCTTTGGAAGTTTAAGCACTAAAAAGATACGTCTTGCTCATGAGTGGCTTTGGACTAAAGCAATGAAAAAGGCTGCCTGTCATGTCAATGGGATGCAGAGCCAGGCTGTTGGGAGCACAGCACACAGGACAAGGTCCTCACTGCAAGCATCACAAAGAGAATTGAAAATGAGGAAAGGGAAATGAGATTTTCTGTGCACGCTTGTGCACGCAGAAGTAGTTGGGAATGTGTGCTCCAGGCAAGTGGGATCTTGGGAGAGAGACATGGAGAAATGAAGTTCTTTGACTTCTTACAGAGGAGGAGGAATGGAAACGGGAGAGCCACATGGAGCTTCTTTCACTATGGCCCCTTCCTGATGGGGGCTTGCTTCCAGCTCCATTTCCAAATGCTGCTCTGCTGTCGTTTTGTCCTGTTCAAACCACTGTCCTGCTGGCCATGATCCAGAAAGATGCTGAACTCCCAATGAAACGATGGGGGTCAGATGACTGGCAGTGCCAGGAGAAAGCCCCTGTATTTTGCTGGTCCCCTCTGCTTTATTGCAGGGCGTCTTGCTCCCTTCACAGTCTCTCCACTAATACCATCTGCCCCTCTTACGGCTGAGCTCCTCCCATCTTCCTGTTGCCAGAGAAACAGCCACCTTGGCAACCTGCTGTCATCCTTGAAACACACATGGAAAAGTCCTCCTGATTGTTATGTTTGATCCTTCAGGCAGATCTGGAACATCACTCAAACTGACATGCATCTCTTGTGACATGATTACCTGGGGGACCAACGGGTGCATACACATGTAGAACGTGTGTGTGTTTCTCTGTATCCGTGTGGGACTGCGGATATGTCTGTGGGCCTGCAAGTGTATTGATTTTTTTTTTATTATTATTATTCTTTACTCACTCTAAGAAGAAAAGACAGTTCTAGCTTGGAAAAAAAAAAATACCAGGCAATAAGCAGAAATCGTGCCTATTGTAGGATTTCCTGTTTTCAACAGCCCTGTACTTGAGGACCCTAGACTAACCTCCCTTCTCATCACTGTGTGCCCAGAACAACCAAGAGCATGAACCTCTGGCTATTAGGTACCCAAACAGTCTTGAAAGATGCAGCTTGCTGCCTGTTACCCGTGGTTCCCTTTGTGCACCACAGACAGAGAGGTCTTTCCTATGCATTCTGTGATGATTTGGAGGGAAGCAGGGACATTGGCATTGCTCTCTTCTGTCTTATATTGGATAGGTAGTGTCATAACCTATGTCTATCAGCCTGAAAAAGAAAGGTGATGAAACTGCACTATAGAAGTTTTAGGACAAAAAATTATTTTATTTTTGTGCAAGACAGGAACTTCAGAATTTTGGAGGTCAGGTGTTCCACAGAAGTGGCAGGCATGAGATGAGGAATCAGGTGTGCTTAAACATAAGCATTTTATGTGAACCTTACCCTTTTCTTTCTTCCAGTGCCTGGATTCGCAGCAAGTTGAGGTCTACTCTGTCCTCGAGAACAACACGAAGATCCCAGAACACAGAACGAGTCTTCCAGGCAAGGTAAAGGCTGGGTCTGTGTTCATTCTTGGAGAATTCCCTTAGACGCTGGAAAGCTCAGAGGCACCACGGTCCTAGCAGGTAGTAAATGTGCCTGCTATTTCACCACTTCCAGCCCCACTGAAAGAGGAAAATGGGACGTGACATCCACTCGTCAGCTGGGCAGCACATGTAGTGTATATTCCTGCTTCTGACAGAACCCCTGCTCCTTCAGTGTTACTGATTCTGGCAGTCCTGGCTTCATGCAGATGCTTTGCTGAAAGGTGCTGAGAAGTTTGGCATTGCTCCCTCTAAATGGCCCAGGTATTCATGGAGAGTTGGCCAGATGCTGCCCTCCCTTATTACCTTCTCCATATTGTTTAGGCAGCCAAGAAGTCTTCCAGCACAGAGGAATCTGTGCACTAGGGGTAGACCCGGGACACAGTTTTACTCTGGCTGGCATTAAGCACCTGAGAGCTTAAGCACCTGGTAAAAGAAGGTAAGATGGCCTGAACAGAGGCAAGAAAAGACAGTGTGGCTATGTCTTGGATCTTCTTGCTCGGCTGAGAGTTACGAGTTAGAGACAAGGAACTGAATCCACTCATACTGAAAGTAGCTGCAACTTGGAATATGCAGGCATGGATCAATTGTGGAGGCCATATGGTGTAGACTAGAGGCCCACACAGCCCTGCACCCTGCCCTTAGCACAAGTATCAGATGTTTCTAGGGACAAAACCCCAGGGAACGCTTCCTTCCTGTCCTCAGATCTTTGTTGTTCATTTCCCCTCCAGAACTCTTATCTACTTAAAAAGTATATTCACTCTTCTAACACAGGAAAAATTTTCTGAAAAATTTCTCCTGCTTCTCTCTCTGATGTCCTGCTGCAGAGGTTAACTATGCAGTGTGGAGCCTGCAGCCAGCTTCAGCTAGCACCATCCCTCTGTTTCATGAAGGACAGTATTTTCCATTGTCTGAAGCACTGTCACAAATCCAGTAGTATAGAACCAAGTGCCTTCTTCCATGTCAGAACTGGTTGATGTGTTCTGCTTCCAGCACCGGTGGCATCCTGCAGTTAGTTCTGTGGCTTTAAAGTGGTGGTAGCAGAGGCAGTGACAGGTATCTGATTACTACAATTGATTACTGAAGGGAAGAATAGGTTCTTTTATATAAGCTGTCTTCTACCACAGTGTATCTTACGTACTGGAAGAGACAGCATCCCTGTTCTTGTGTTCTTGCATTTTGAACTAATTGGGTAGGAAGATCAGTCACTCCAGATTTCTCTTCTCTGTCGTATTTATTCATCTGTATACCTTTATCAGTTGCCTCCTTCTAAATGATTTGGTGTGAATGAGGAGATGCAGTACATGTCTTTTTTCCTACCATGAAGTTGTCTGGGCTGTGCTGAATCACCTGTGTGTGGCCCACACCACTGAACTGCTGCTTTAGCAAACTTGTAAAAGAGAGTGGGAACAAAGCAATGAAGCAAGAGCAAAGGAGTATCTGTGTGCCAGTGGGTCTGGCTCTTGTGGTCTCAGCGGGGGAGAGGTAAAGTTCGAAAAAGAGATGGGAGAAACAAAGGAGAAGAGAGCAAAGGGAGGTGATGGGATGAGCTCTCACTGTCATGAGCAGACACACTTCTGAGTGTGTTCAGTCTTCATGCTGGTCAGAAACAGGGAAGTGTGAGTGGCAGGGCTCCATCGCCCCCACTTCTATGTCCCACCTCAAGGTTCTGCTTATCCTCTCCAAGTGAGAAGAGTGGAAAGGAGCTTCTGCAGTAGGAGCAACTGTGAGGATTGGAAGAGAATGCCAAGGCCTTGGGCTCTCTGTGCTGTGAACAATGATTTAAAATGGAAAAGGGGGAGAACTGTATTAATCTCTGAGGTTGTTTCACAAAAGCCAGAAATGAGTTTGGTTCCCCTCAAAGGGATATGGCCTTCTCTGCACAGGTGAATTTGACTGTGCTCCTCACTGCAGTGACAAAACCTCTTGATCAGCTTCCCACTCCATCATCCTGGGCTCTGGCCACCTGAGATGTTCATCCTCTAGCTGGCCATGTCAGAACCTAATAGGGTGCTTTTCTAAGAGCAAATGTAGTGGGTCAGCGAGTTTGGGCTGGAGCAGGAAGCTTGGGTTGCTGAACTGTGGCTGAGACTCACTGCAGAGGATCACAGCCAGCCCTTGGTGCAGGGTGGTGCATGTAAAGTGATGCAGCGCAGAGAGCACTTGAAACGAGAGCATTTGCAAGCTCTTGCATTGCACTGACAGCCAGCCTGGGTGGTGAGGGGTTAATCCTCTAGTGTCTGTTTCTGCTGTGGAGGTGCCTGTACTCAGATTTTGTAGAACAGTTCCCTTTGGTGGTGGCAACAGAGAAGAAGCTAGTGTAGGTAGGGCTCCATTCACCCTCTGGCATTCCAGCTACTCGCTGTATAACCTTGCTTACAGCAGGCCTGTGCCACGCGGCGCTTAAAATATCAGTCTGTCAGCACCTTGTCTACACAGGGAACAGTTGTGAGGAATAGACTCAACTGTTGAAGAAACAGGATTGGGGAGGTCAGGGAATTCCTCCTTCACAGAATCCAAAGTGATTTATTTTTTTACCAAGTCCAATTTTCCCTCCCCTCCTTGTCTGACGGCTTTTTGGGCGAAGAGTGACAAGTAAAGGAGGCATCTTTATCCCTTGGGCTGGATTAGTCACCTTCGTCTCTTTTGGAGCAACATTTCTCAGCATAGCAGCTTCCGTTTCAGCAGATCACTTATAGCCATTTCTAACAGAACAAACGTCAGTGTCTGCTGATTAAGAATTAATTCATCTTCTTTTGAATAATTTTCCTCCATTTCTTTTTTCTCCTTTTCATCATTCTGCAGACACCTAAGGAGGAAGAAACTCTAGAAGAATACGGTGATACACTGTATGAGAATATCTAAGGGAAAACCTGACCCTGTGTGAATCAGACATCTTCCTGCACGACAAAGCTACTTTCTACACCCTCAGTTCTCTGTGAAGACCCACAGTGACTTCAGGGCACAGCCATGGGGAACTCATGAACCTTGGGCTCCCTCTAGACTGCCCTTCATTAGCAGCAGAATACATCTGTTCAGATCCCATGGGAGCTCAGTCTGTATTTATGCAGCAAAGCTATTTTGCAGCAAAGCTGTTTGATGCAAAAGAAAAGCTGTTTTTTGTCAAGCAGTCACACATATCTTAAAAATGGTGCAGATGGGATCTGTGGAGGTTTCTCTCACCTGGCTTGGCTGAAATACTTGAATCTTGATCCTCGGAAGTGGTATCACAGTCCAGAGACCTCGCTGCTTGCTGACCTGATCTTTGAATCCTGACCTGCAGCAGTCCATCTGATCCTGTGCCTATGGCTTTCCTGACACAGCCATCAGGCCTTCATGCATAGTTTAACGAAGATCCAAGCATCCACCTGCCCATTTTTCCTTTCTCAGGAACCCCACAGTGAAACATGCTTTCTCATAATCTGCTAATCCCATCAAGTAGTCACAGATGCCTGCTGTGACCATACTCAACTGACTCAAATCAGTGCCTTGGAAGAAATGCTTTCCCTTCAGCAATATCAGCAGTATCGGTCGAGGGATGGAATGCATGAACAGAAATAAAAATGGAGTTGAGGAAGACAGAGAAAATATCCATGCCTGCCAAGATGTCCTGGTGGCAGTGACTCTTCCAGAACAAGGAAAAGGAAAAGCTGGAAACCTGAGGAAACTCCCTTGCTGGGCGGCGTAATCCAAACAGTTCTGAATGTATCCCAGCCTGAGAAGTTCAAGCTGATCTCCCCAGTTTGCTATTCTTTTTGGCAATGGGCATTCTTACTGTTTGGGATTTTGAATTTCTGCAGGAGGAGATTTGGTATTTCTGCCTCACCAAAATCCGTAGGTTTGCCTTTGTTTCAGCTGGCCATTATTTCCCAACAAAGACACAAGTTTTGTTTTGCTTAATTTTCCTTCATAGATTATTTGGGCATATGGACAAGTTCTCAAACTTAGAATGACCAGAGGAGAGAGACCCTCAAGGTGAATTTTCTGTCCAAGCTCTTCTCTCTCCTGTCAGCTGGAACTTGCCTACCTTTTGTGCTGATGCATATTCTAGTTCTGGTAGAGAAAAGGTTACATTTAATATCCATATAACACGATCAAGCCAGTGGATCAAAAAGCTGAGACCATTTTATCTCAGATTAAAAAACAACAACAAAATAACAACCAAACAAAACCAACCCAAAATAAGAATATGTAGCATAACTTGAGAGGAATCATAGAAACCTCTTTAAAGAAGAAGATCAAATTAAAACGGAGCTCCAGGGTCATAGGACCCTCTCTAGTTGAAGATAATGTTGCTATGCATCAGAGATAGAGGCTATGGAAAATGTCTCCAGGGCCTCCAACCTTCCTATACTATGTTTAAAGAGATAATCCGCTTATTGCTTTGCTCTTTTTATTAGAAGAGATTTCAGACATGCAATTTGGACTTTCTTTAACCACAGGAAAACGCTTTTTCTCTTTCCACTGTTGAGGAATTCATTTCAGAAAGAGCAATAAATAGACAGTGTATCTCACTAGACTTGTCTTCCGGTTGTTAAGAGATCATAATAATTAGAAATAAAATTTTTTGAACTCAGCAATTTTAGCATTTACTAATGTGACCAGAAATAGCAATTGGAATAAAAACATTTCTCAGAAGAAAAACAACAAAAACAAACAAACAACAGCAACAAAACAAAAACAGAAACAGGGGATTGTGCAGGTGTAACATTTCCTTTCCTTAACAAATTTGAAGAAATGATGAGATGAAATATAAATACGTTGTAGTGTGGCAATAAAATATTCTGAAGAAGCTGGTGGTTGAGATGAAAAGTGTAAGCTTTCAAAATAAGGCTGCTTGTTGTTTGTGTGTGTGTTTTTTGCTTTTTAAATTTTATACATGCTAAAAATAATAGTGCTGCAAATTTCCTGGCAAAGATCTCACTTTGCAGTGAAGTGTTTTGCTTTGCCTTTCTATTAAATAGTGTTCCTTACATTTATGTCTGAGTAATTCTATATATTAAGTAGCAGAAGGTGTTTAAAATGAAACATAAGAAAAAGAATGATATTTGGAATAGAAAGGCTATTTTAGAACAGTCAGTGCTCAAGTACTGAACGAATCCCAACCGGTTCCGATCAATCAAGTGAAAAAGTAAAAATGTCCAAGAAACACTGAAAGTCTGGGGATTTGGGCTGTGTGCCAGAGCCTGTCAAAGTCAGGAGGAGTTGCTGTGTTGATTTCAATGGGTTTGGGATTGGTTCTGCAAGGCTAAAAGACTGCTGCTTGAGAAAAAGGAAGCTTGGAAGCTGCGTAGCCTGAAGCTAGTATCACTTCTCCAGCGTTGTGCACTGTGGGCAGCCGCCCAGAGTGTGTGAGAGAGAAAGGTGTAAAGTAGAAGATGGTGAGAGAAGAGTTGTTTTTAAATGGTACAGAGTTTTCCAAGGAGGTATGAGGAAATGCCCTCTGGCACAGGTAGGAGAAACCACTGAATATAATTTATATAATATTGATTCAGTTTCTTTATAGCAAAGGTTTGTTCAGGAAAAAAAAAAAAAAAGGCAGTTGTTTGCTCTTCTTGGTCCCTGAGAATAGATGCAGAAAGAGATTGTTTTTAAGTGTGGAACAATACAAATAACAATAATAATGAAACATAATAATAAGAAGAGAAGTTAAGGATTATCTGCCCCTGTTCCACACAAGTGAGACTTGATGATGGACTTTATTGTGTGATTCCTAAATTGAATGCTGAGAATGGATTCCTCTCGAAAACGATGTCCCTGAGGGCCACGGCTCTGCTCGCTTTCCCCAGCGTGGTGCTGTTACACACAGAACATGCTCTCAGGTTGCAGAGCTGTAATCTTTGATTCCCAGGTGGTGGGAAAGCTAAGAGAAATTACCCCTTTGTATTGACAGGATTTCAGGAAGTGGAGACGTTATCAAAATAAGCAATGGTTGCAAGGTGGAAAATGCACTGTTTTCTTGTAAAGGAGATGACATATTAACACAGGGCCCTTTATCCTCTGTACCAAGAGTGAGCTTTTGGTCCTAACATGCAACCTCTCACTATGATGATCCTCTCCCTGTTGTCTTAGCTGGGACTGCTCTAAGGGGTGTTGGTGGCACTGAGGTCATCTAGTCCCTTTCAAACAATCCCTTCACAACACTTTCCAGCAAATCCTACTTTCAGAAGGCAAAAAGCTGAGTGCATATGAGTGGTTCGCTGTTTTCATCCTTTTTGGTAGAGAACAAACTCTTGCATGGGTGCTGTTTTCTGGTATGAAATATACCAACCACATTTTGCCTTTTATCTGTAGACAACAAAGAGCTTGTTGTGATAGGTGATTGAAACAAAATGCATTACCAAGGTGTTGTCCATTGTGTTCTCTTTCACTGCTTTTGTCTTCCGATAATCTTCTTTTCCCTTCTCAGGGGTATCACTGACATTAAACACTTCTGCGGCAGGTGTCTAAAGACCTAGCTTGGGCTGAGTCTTTTTATAAAAGGAGGCACTTACTTGAAAAGCACCCAAGTGGAATGGCTACTGCAGCTCTACTTGGACCCCTGTCCCACCCGGCAAGACCCAAAGGGCCAAGGGCAGGGCTCCCATCTTCCTGCTGGATTGTCTCTCGGTGGTTTCTCCAGTCCTCAGCCATGCAAGGGCTGTGACCTTGTGTCAGGGATTTAGGGAAGGCGGTGAGCGAAGCCACCAGATGGTGCCCTAGGTCCTCTCTGCTCCCTCTCCTGTCCCCTGCCTGCCCACATGCCCCTGGAGGGCCCCATTCTCCCGAGGTGGGCGCCTAGAGCCACGCAGAGCCGCCCCAGCCAGGGCTGCCTTTTGCCTGTATGGATGGTGCCTCTGGCCCTGCACAGCTCTGCCACCAGCCCCTGAGAGGTGATGAAGACAGAGCAGGCTTCCCTCCTTTGCACCCATGACATCAGTGGATCTCCTGGAGCTCCACTTTTCTTTCTGAAATATGTGGCTTGTGTTCCATAGCTCTTGGCCACATAAAGATTGGGATATACAGCTGATAGGGCCAGGCAGGTTGGCTCCCCTGCTTTAAGCAGTCAGAATGTAATTGCCCAAATTGGAACAGCATGAACATGGAAAAGCTAACATATGGGCTTCTTTGAACATGTCTTTAGGTAACCAGTTAGAGCCTCTGTTTTCTATCCCATCTGAAAGACTGTTAGGCCTACAATTTGGGGCAAGGATTTCTGAGCACTCCCAGGGGTAATAATTGTACCCAAAATACTTGTACTGCAGTTGCGAGGGAATTAGCCTTGTAATGCCACCAGCGGTGCTTTATGCTGACACATGTCATTAAAATCAAAGATGTCAAGTGTCCTTGCAAGGCTCAGTATGATATTTCATCTTCATACATGAGGAAATAGAGACTCAGGAGGTTAAATGACTTTTCCAAAATTGCAGAGGGTCAGAAGTAAAGTCAGGAGCAAAATTCAGCTTCCTATGTTCTTATTCAGATCAGGCTGTCAAGGTGGGAGCCAATAGCTGGGTAAGCAGGAACTACTGAGCTCTTTTCAGTCTTATAAAGTATGGGGGAAAAAAGTCTCTTCCTGGGTCTCGAGCACCTGTTTCAGCATTCTTCTTTCATTGCTGGTTTCTTGTGCAGGTATTGATCAGGGCTCCCATTTGCCTGGCTGAGGTCTGCTCACAGAGGTCACTGAGCTGCAGAAGTTACTGCTCTCTCTTATGGAGGTATCCACCATTTTGGCAATAAGGAGAGCTCATAAAAGCCAAATTACCATGGAAAGCCCAATTACTTATGCTGTAATTCCCCAAATAAATGTTTATGGAGGGGACGTGATGAGTTACTGCACATCCATCCCAGAAGGTCTTAACTCCTGAAAAATCTCCTGGGCTGTTGGAGAGGGCTTAGGGCAGGCAGAGCAAATAGCTGTGGCTCGTCACAGCACTCTGCTCAGGGAAGAGAAGATGGGGAAGCCCTCAGTCGAGCTCCCGGGGAAGACAGAGGAGCAAGGAGAGGAGCTGTGATCATTCTGTGAATGGGAATGCTTGCCATTCTTTTGAATATTCGAAAGAAACCACAGCCGTGATGTGATGTAATTCCTGCTTGGTTGGGTTATTTATTCAAACAGGGCTGTGCTTTGTGAGCACGTGGGGAAGAGAAAGTAAAACTTCAGCTCAGCTTTTGCTCATTCAGGATTTCTGTAGGCTTTCAGACTCGCTGAGGTCAAGGCAGGGTCTGAGCCTGGAGCACAGCGGCTCTTCAGAACAGCTCTGTGCAGTCCTTCTCTGCTAGGCAGTGTGTGAAACGCAGGTGTGGGTTTTGGAGAAATCAGTTTAATAAGGGAGCTGTAGCTCTTCTTCTCCTCCCCAGTAGATTTAAAATAATCTCGCTGTCCATAAAAATCAGGTTAGCTATTTTGGGTTCATGTAGAGCTAAAATGAATGCAGCATCTCTCATTTCTAGTCATGATAAGTCACTAGATATCAATTCTTAATTGCTTGATTAATCTTGAATTTTCAGAGCTGACACTGCCTGTCCTACCTCCAGAGAACGGCTACATTTAAAAGAAAGAAGAAAACACTTTCCTCTTGATCAGAAACAAAAAACAAACACCAGCCTCGCAAGGTAAGCGCATGAAATGAGAGAGGTTTGTGGCATGCTGTCCTGAGACAGCCATTAGGCAGAATGTGAGTGAAGCAGCCAGAGGTCCCCGAGATCCGGGGGTGGACTCATTTCATTGTGTGCTTCAGCAGTTAATTACAGGACAACCTCAAACCCAGATATTAGTGCACTTGTGTTTGCTTGTATGTGTTAGGCCATGGTATTCATTTTAATAAATGAGTAGAGAGGTTTCCTTCACAGAGATCATTACATTTCTACGTATAGAAAAGCTGTTTAAGGTCAACAAATACAGGAGATGATGCCTTTGTATGCTTTGTGTATGCTTGGACTGATAATTATCACTGCAATGCCTCCCTAAGGGTGTTGTTAAAAAAATACAGACCCAGAAAGGTAAGGAAGGATGTTCAAACTCATTTTAGAACATTTATAAAATTGTCTGGGCACTTTTATTTATTTATTTTTAAAGCATTGTGTGTGGCACACTCAGGATGAACAGCACCGTGGTGCATCAGTCCTTGCTTGGCCACACTATGCTATAGGTCTCCTATTTTGTGGTGGCACAATGTGATATAAAGGTGGCATGGCGGCATGGGTGCAAGCTCAGGCTGGCTTTCCTGTCATGTTAGAAAAGGAGATATTTTGATCTCCTTACTCTAATTAAGGAATAATAAAGGGCTCTGATTTTTTAATAGTTTTTTTTTCATCTCAATTAGCTGCCATCTATGGATGCTACAGACTTCTTGGAAGAGGTAGGTGCTGTCCGGGACAGCTCCTGAAAGGTCTGTGTGATCCAAGAAAGTGGCATGGCAACAACACTAAGCAAAGGACTTGTTGTCATTACCGGATGATGAACCAGGGACATCTCCAGAAAATCACAGTGATGTAAAGGAAATGTTCTCAGGATACAATCACCCCTTAGATCCCTTTGAATACAGCACTCCCTCTATGGCTACCTGATGGAACCAAGCATGGTTATTTTGGTCTACAGCAATGCTGTAGAGAAAGTTTCCTCCATGTACAGGGTTGAGACCTCCTGCTCTGCAAATGTTGCAGTTAGCAAGCAGTTAGACAGTCAGAAGTGGGACATCCCCAAGGCCTGCTGTCCCCATCTAATCCCTTCCCGCAGTCACTGCTTCTTGATCGTCTTCCATGAATCGGGTGATGGGAGCTCCTCTGGGATGCTGTCATGCAGATTTGCAGATTAATACTTCCTTTGCTTAATTTCATTTACACTGATACTATTTACACTCCTTCAGACAATCCTAAGCAGTCTTTCTCACTCCCTGGTGCTTCTGCACCCCTGAAGTTCACAAACGCAATTCCCATGATGCTCTTCACAGTTGTTATTTGGCCAACCTACACACACTGTAATCCCTTCCAG